GGGGGGGGGGGGGGGGGCAGGACGTCGCGTGAGAAATGGGGCGCTTGCGATGAAACTGGGAGGAGGTCAGCAAGTCACGTTGCCGCATAGGGTGACTTTAGAACTGTAGGGCTCATGGGATTGAGGGTGTAGGTATTTAGAGGATCATGGGACATAGTAAGTAGGGTTATAATTAGGGTAACTATACTTATAACCCCAATTAAGGGACTTACAACCTTACTTACTAAGTCCCACGATCCTCCAAGTAGGGCTCATGGGATTGAGGGTTTAGGTACATAAACAGGGGCACTGTCGTGCTGGGCTTGTAAATCTGTGGCAGGCCACCGCCAGGAGTGACACGGATAGGAAACAAGACGTCAACAAAAACGATATCGTCAGCTTCACCAGTTAGCATTTCAGGTTTTGGGGCATCCTGCAACCGGCGCCTCCACGCCGAAGGTCTCCAACACTTCTGGTGCGCTGAGGTCTCGGTTGTCGCGTGCCCAGGGCCTGTGGCTGCAGTTGCAGTCTTGCTTGTAGAATTTCTATCATTTCCATGTCCTGCTGCTTTGACGTATCTGACGGCTTGTGCTGCTGGGCTGGCTAGAAGGCCAGTCTGGACCACAAGACATAGCAACAAAGGCTTACAGAGTGATCTATTAAAACAGATACAGCACTGTTTGCTTCACACTCAGTGGTCGCGATACACAGTTTGCGCCAAGTAGCAGAAGCCATGATTTAGCATTCATCAGGCCAGTGAGAGTCGCAACATGAATAGGGGTGGCAAGATGGCAGCAGTCGTGGTCGTCGTCGTCATAGGAGCACTAGAGGCAGCCGCAGCAACAGCAACAGCAGCAGCAGCAGCAGCAGCATGAGTAGTGGTAGCAGAAGTCGTGGTAGCAGCAGCATCAGTAGTAGCAGCAGTAGTAGCAGCAGTAAGAGGAGGAGGAGTCGCTGAGGAGCCTGGAAAGCCCAAACCCAAGCCCTAAAACCTGTGAAGCCCCAGACCCTGCATCCGAAACCTTGAACCATAAACCCTTGAACCACCCCCTCCACTTCAAAATAAGCCTAAACCCTAAACCCTAAACCCTAAACCCTAAGCCTTGAGATGGAGCCCATTGAGCCTGCGCCACCACTTCAGCTACGGCCAGGCGCGCTCGTTTCAGGCTTTCGCACCTGTGCTTTGCAAGAGCGTAGGAAGGGCTGTAATTTTTAGGGCTTGGTCGTTAATAGGGTTTATATGGGTGTAGGGGATTAGGGTTTAGGGTTTTGCAAGAGCGTACTTGGAGGATCATGGGACTTAGTAAGTAGGGTTATAATTAGGGTAACTATACTTATAACCCCAATTAAGGGACTTATAACCTTACTTACTAAGTCCCATGATCCTCCAAGTAGGAAGGGCTGTAATTTTTAGGGCTTGGTCTTTAAAGATTAGGGCTTAAGGCTTTGGGTCTAGGGTTTATAGGGTGTAGGGGATTAGGGTTTAAGGCTTCTGGGCTTCCAGGACATTTGTACCTGGAACTTCGACTCTTTTCTATTCCAGAGAAAACCTGCATGAGGCCAAGTAGACTATCTGTCCAGCTACCTGTCCCCCTCTATATATATATATATACTAGACACAC